GATGTTATAGTTCGGCCTGCTATTCGCGTATTGGGGTCTTTTATTCCTCTCCATGTTGTATTCTCTTCTCCGTTGTTTTTGCGACTTCTTTCCAAGAATTGCCTAAAAAGGGAATTTTTGAAAAAAAAGATTTTTCGGTATAATATTATATGATCTTATGAAGTGAAATTTTAAAAAATATTAAATAGATATAATTTTTTATTATCTTTTTTTTTTCTATTTATATATTTGTGCATTTTTAAATACTTTTTCTTCTTTTTTTAATTTATTTTCTTTATGGCTTCCTATATTTCAGTGGCTTAATAAAATATATAATAGTAGCAATCTACTGATTGTAATATATAGTATAAACTAGTTTATTATGGTGTGATATTGTTTTCAAAATCAAACAGAGACCCTTATTGCTGATGACAAGTTTATTAGACTTGATAAATAGTTATAACTGTAATATACATCATATTGCTTGAATGAATTGTACTTATATATTCAAATAATTAATAAATTACAGTTTTTGATTTGACTACGAGTATTGCAAAATAAATAACCAAATAAAAATAAATATCTTGAAATTGATTTTTTTTTTTTAATATTTTTTTTAAGTCAAATAATAGACTTTATTGTTAATTTCAACAACTACTCAATTCTTTTTCAATCAGTTTAATAATCTTCGCTCTTTATTCCATTGCTAATTATTTTTTGAACAATTGTTTAAAAATCTGCGGTCCTTAAAATTATAATCCCGTATTATTATACAGTATGATCGAAGATCATCAATGCCAGTGCGTGTCATTAAAAATAATTATTGACTATAGGCTTTTTTTCCTTTGCAAATAATCGAAATTCGTGATCATCTAAAAGCACATGTGATTTTAGCAGTAAACACCTTTTTTCTGACATCTCTATAGCATTGAACAAAAACAGGTCATTTGTTAATGCGTATTCAATTTTAAATATTCATCATCATCGTTATCGGTTTTAATTTTGTAATACCCCTCTCTGTACAGAAACAAAAGCTTTTTATACCAAAGTATGATATATAAAAAAATTTTTTTTTTTTTTTTTTTTAATTACAGATAGTCTTGAGTTTTAAAATATTACAAAAATCGAGTTCAAAAATTTAAACTGCTAGAAAATCTTTGCTGGATAACATAGTCTCTTGCAAGCGACACCATCGAAACAATAGAAATTGCAAGTGTGGAAAATAATAATATTAAAAAGCGAGGGTAATTATATAAAATGTGAAAACCAAATCGTTCTAGCGAAACCGATTAGCGAGTATTCAGTCATAATGGTATGGAATTTTAATGAGGTAACTCTAGTTAACTCTGAATTTTTATATGTGCAATCTTTGCAAGAATTAAAAAACATAATGAACTTTGAGAAAATGTTTTCTTCGGATAATACAGGTTTGCAATTTTATTATATGGTGAAATTGCAAAGATAATATAAACAGTGTTAATATGAATAGTCATTATATTTATAGGAATGACATTATACTGTTAAAGTACATAATGCTTGCAAAGTTCGAGTGACCTCATAGACCATAAATAAATTCTGGATGCCTGTCTCCTAAATTCTCAATTTCTTCGTCACTCTTACCCTTTAAATACCACGCGGGTTCTCTGATTTTTCTCTCATTCTCTCTTTTCAACCCCCAATATTGAATACCCGTTAACACCGTGGATAAGAATATGAAACTCAAAGCCGCTATATGACCGTTCCGATAACTTGGTGAATCCTTCGGTTGATATATTTGAGAGGCAATTATTCCCCCAAGGTTTCCTATAGATAACATCATTGCACTTCCCACTGCTCGTTTTAAATCGCCCGCCAAATTGATTGTTAACCTAAGTTGTTAAGAAATACATTGTAATTATGGAAAGAAGTGAAAATCAGGTTTCATAAATGAGAAAATATTTTACCATGTAATAGATACAGAAACACATGGAAACAGCCCGATTCCAATAATAAAAGTTCCTGCATATTTTCCTATAAATGGAAACGAAGTGTGTATGCTCTTGGATCATGTCAATTGAATGAAAAACTTTTGCATGATCATTATCATACCGGCCATAGACATCCCAGGAATTATGAGCAACGAATAGCCACACATAGTGATTAGAAAACAAGAAGATATGAATAATGAACGAATTTTGATTCGGTCCGAAAATATCGCCGTCAACACTGTGGTTATGAATCCGCAAATAAATGGTGGCGCAGTGAGAAGTTGGGAGATAACTATTTGAAATAATGGAGTTTTTAGGGTTATATAATGTTCGTCTTATTTTTTATATTCTTCATTAGCATACCAGGGTTAAATCCCATGCCGTTTACAATAGTGGGAATGAAGAATGAAAAGGAATATGTAGCGGCAACAATTCCCATAAATATAAACGTCGATGTCCACACTTTCTATGTAATATATTTCAAAAAAATTTATATAATTTCATGCACAGAATTTGGTTAATAAATGGAAAATATTTTACCCAATCGCTAGCAGCAATCACAATTTGGTCGACACGAAAATGAGCAGAGTGTGCACGCCCTGCATCGTGTCGAAGTCGTTTAATAGCCAATTGGCGTTCATCTTCCGTTAGCCATTTGGCAGCTTCGGGAAAATCTGAGATGTAGAAATAAGCTATAATGGCTATTAATACGGTTACTGAGCCGTCGATCAAAAAAATCTTTTAATTAAATTAATTAAATTATATAGAAGTGATCGTTAGTATAATCGAGTGCTTAAATTCATTCCATACATTTAAAGTCATATTCTTGTTACCCATTGCCATCCGCTTAACCCAAGCTTCCCATTCAGGTGCATAGTGAGATACCCTAGAAGACCGCTAAAAGCTCCCGCAAGTGTGGCACCGGAAAAAAAAAGAGCAACCCTATAATTCTGCTCGGATCTTTTGTACCACATAGTGATGTAAAAGATTACTCCCGGAAAAAATCCAGCCTCGAACGTACCCAGCAAGAATCTGGTTACCGCCAATTGCGCGAAATTCTTTACCTTGGGAAGAAAATATCAAATTTACTTATAGATTGTGAAATATATAAAATACAGTACATATGAATAAAGATAGTTACAAACGCCATTGATATCATAGTGGCACCCCAGAAAGTCATAATTGAAGGGACTAAGTCATGTCGAGGTTAGAAATGATTTCGTTGGATTGTGAATCAAAAATTCCAATTTAAACTCACGCCATAATGAAGGTTTAGTCTTAATCAGCATTAAATTTGACGGCACCTCAAAAAGTATATAGCCCCTACATCAAAAGTACAGGAGTTAAAGGAAACGGTTGAATTATGATATGTTGTGACTGTAGAACTCTTAACGTACTCGTTAAAAAAAAGGAAAAATAAATAAATAAAATACATACGCGAAGAATATGCCCAAACACCAATTATACTGAGAGCCGACTAACCCCAGGTCGCGCTCAATATGCGCCAATTTCGCGTTTCCTATATTAACCCTTGGTGATTGAAAATATTAAATTTGCGCGAATTCCCTCATATGAACACAAACTATGGTATAAGGAAAGATTACCTGTCCAGGAAGCTTAGAATATAAAGAACTGAGATTAATGGCATGAGTCTTAAGTCCATCTTCGTTAACAATTTCCTCTCCTCCATGTTGATTCCTTCACCTTCACTAGAGTACATCATTATAACTACTGTACTTGAGTTTTGGGGAAACTCCGAAAAAAGGTGAATTTATATTTGAACCAGAATAATTCTACTGCCGTTATACTGTATAATCATAAAGATCGAAATTCATTATTCGATCACAAAGTATTTGGTGAATAAGGATCGCCATGTAAACGTGAAATTATGTAACCATTTAAACACAATTAGTTCAAGAGCTTAAGATGCGCTTATTAAAATCCGTGATATATGATTCGTTGAATGGTTTGTCAATGAAGGGATTGTTTCTTTAAGGTTAAAATTGATGCTTTTACAAAGGAAATTAATCAACAATTAATCACCCTTAAATAATTAGCATTTCTACTTTTTAGATTTGTTCACGTAAATCGTGAAAAAAAATTCACAGAGTTACGTAATGTCGATTTTTTGATAAATTTTTTTGGAATGCGATTGTCGCGGGGCCCAATCGGCAAGTCTGTTGCTCCTCAACGAAAGACGAAACAATACGTAATACCGCGTATCAAACTTTATTGGTAAAAGGCGTGTGAACTTGGTCGAGTAAGCTTTAGGTACAAGTCTTTGTCAAATTTATCCTAAGCTCGGGCCATTGGCTCTACGCGGATCACGTGGACAAGACGTAAATCAATTTTTAGGATGAAATGTTTATCACTTCCATTAATAAAAACTGGTGCATACATGCGTTCTTTATAAGTATACAAAAAAATCCAGATTCCGAAAATCCCAAAAATTACAAAAATGACTATTGTTGGTTCACATTCCTATAACTTTATTTTTTTCTCAATACTATTATATACTAGCTTCTTTTTTTTTAAAAATAAAGAGTTTATTTTCATTTGTACCGTAAAGTGGATTTTTTATAATGTTAATCCTGGTAAATTTTAGCAAAGGATCATCTGACTCATGTTAAAGAATTAGGATTATTTGTTATTATATAATCTATATATAGTAACTATTTTTAATAGATTTAAATAATAAATAGGACAAATAGAATAAGCAAATTTAATAAATAAATTGTACAATTGCTTTCAAAAATTTCAATCCACTTACTATGTTTTTATTATAGATTTCAACTTTGCCAATTTTTAAACTTTTAATTATTATTATTATTTTTTTAGTATTAAGGACGATGAACTATTTATATATTAGACCATTTTATATACATTAGAACTATTTATATGAACACATTTTAGATAAACAAATGTATCAAAGAATTCATTTGTGCCTATGAAACTTGTTGTTAAAAGAAACCCTACTATACCACTATTTATATTTATATTACTATTTCAAGTCTTTCATTTTTGCAAGTTCTAAGTTTGTAACATAGGATCTCTTTCATATTTTGTTCCACCAGATATTTTTTTACAATACTTATTATAATATGTCTATAAAATACCCATGTGGAATTTTTGATGTTATTTCATTTTACTAGTAATTCTTTTTATATGACTTTTTATATTTTGCCTATAGGGTGATCACATGAAATCTTGAATAGATATCAATTTTGATAGAAATCTTCTTCTAACTAATATATCTAGAATTTACCAATCCTTTTCTTTTTATGGCTTGCAGATCTTAAGTCTATCTGTAAGAGTTTGATAGAACTTACAGTATCTTGTAACAAGGTGACTTTAGCACTAAAATCAACCAAAGTATCTTGTGATCTTTTGAATATCCCATAATCAGATAAAATCTTGATTAGAGATGGTAATTATTATCATTATAAAACATATAAGATCTTTCAATACTATTTAGACTTAGGTAATACTAATTTGCAATAGTATTGAACTCAAAAATAATACTTGGTGATTTGAGAAAATTATTATTATACTATTGATTTATATATTCTAAACTTTAATTATATACTGTAATTAAAAATTATAAAATTTTTATATATTATTCTTAATATTTGTTCTATTTCTTATATTTTTTAAAAAAATCTTTATAAATAATTTTAAAAGTTTTATTATTGTTAAATATTTTTATTTTTTTTATAATCACTATGTGAGTTATAATAAAGAAACTCTTTTTGCTGATCCTCTGACCATACATAAAAAAGATATTCACAAGAAGTTTTATACTTTCTTACTAATAAAATCTTTATACTTTCATTAAAACAACCTGAAGCTTGTTTTCATTTATTTTTCCTACCCTTCCTTACTTGTTTATAAACTCCTTTGAATAAAAACTTGAATCTCCAGTGATCTAAAAAAACTCAAGTAGTTACTTCCTCTACAAAAAGCAAAAAGGTTTTAGAAAGTAAAAAAATCGACAAGTAAAATGTCACCTTACAGAGCTAGAAGTAACAAGAAATAGAAGTTCTATTGGCAGGAGAAAGCTTATTTTTCACCTTCTTATATAATGTCTTATACCTTCTTAAAGTGCTTACTGTTTTTCACGATTTTCTTGAAGAATTTTGCCTACCTCAGTTTGACCCTAAATTTCTAGTAACACAATATTACCTAGTATCTGAATGGTTGATACAAAACATATTAGTAGCTGAATGTAAACAAGTTCATATTGGTCATCACATGTATTCTAATAACATCATTAATGATTAAAAGAAAAATAAAGGATACGAACTCTTCCACTTCTCCAAATGAAGTTTAACTGAAACAAAGAAATTATAAGACTATTAGAATAGGCACTAAATTCCCTAGGTAGTAAAAAGGTGATTATTTGTTTAAATCAAAACCTTCAACTTCTTATTATCCTAGTCAGGCAAAATACACAAAGAAAGTTATTTCCTTATCCTAGTTAGGCTATAAGATCAAAAAGCAAAGGAATGTAAAACACTACTATTTTCTAGGATTGAGAATGCATTTCCCAGATATTATATAATAGTATTACAATTAAGATGAATACCAATAAAATTCTTTTAACTAGGTGTAATTGCTGAAAAATATTGGGAGTTACTCAACAAGACTAAAAAGTCACATAAGAACCTGGGATTCATCATTAGTCATCTTCTTCTAGGTGAGTGAATACAAAATCAAAATCAAAAGAAAGGAAGCATTGAACAAGACACTGGATCTGAGTAGGTGATAAGTACTTCAGATGGTTACAAGAAAATAATCAAGAGTATAGATGGATAAGTTCCTCAGATGATTAGGAAGAAGAAGGATATTCCAAAAGAGTTGACTCCTAATAAGAAGAGTTTTCTAGCAGAGGTCCTTTGGAGGACATGAAACATTTTAATTTTCTTTTTTTCTTTTCATTTTCCTGTAGTGCATTTGCATATTTTTAGATATTCTACTTTTCTTTTATTTGTAATACATTAAAGTTACTTGAAAACTCTATATATACTTGATCTTTAAGATTGAAAAAAATTGTATCTGTTTAGATTCTAAACTTTTTTCAATGAATATCTATAGAGTCAATAGTATTGAGAATTTTAATACCTTTAGTTCTTTATAGTTCTTGATTCTTTTTCTTAAGCAAGTTATCAATTATAAATAAATCTTTAGAAGTATATGTTCATTGTTGGTTGAAGTTTTTATTAGTATATTATAGAAATCCTGTAAGTTTTCAAGACTCAGTTTAGCTATGACTCAGATATAATCAATTCTGCTATAAACTAACTTGTTTGATCATATAAAAGTACTGTTGCCTTCTTTCTTTCAAAGCTTTTAAACATCTATAAAATTCCAGTTATCTAAGAAGTTAAATAATCCAATTTCAACTCTCTTATATCTAATATATATCTTGCTATTAATAGGAGATCAATTTTTGTAGAATCAATTACAGCATTAAAGTCTTCTATAATGATTACTTCAAAGTCTTTTTTTTTTATTTTTCATGAATTTTCTTCTATAAGATTTGTTGCAGATATCTACTTCTTTCTTTTTAAAAAGTAAGTAAACTTGAAAAATTGCAAGTTTACTCTTCGATAATAGGAAGCTAGCTCCTATTATAGAGCCCTCTATTTTGTTTATTATGCTAATTTTTTTTTGTATTTTTTTTTTGATTAAAAGATTTATTCCAAAGTTTCTAGGTTTACTATTATTATTGCTATAAAAGAACTTGTGGGTTTCTAGAAATTTGAAGGCAAATGTATTAGATTCAAATACAAGTTTTATTTTACAAATTCCAAGAATATTAATATTCATCTCTTGGATTTTTTCTCAAAACTTTTGTTGATCAAGAATTGTGTTAATACCTCCCACATTGTGTATTGCTATAGTTATAATATATTAATTGATAGTTTGATATTAGTATTTTAATAAAAAATATAGCTTTTTTATATTTTAATAATATTGAATTTTATTGTTGAAATAAAGTTATCTAAGGAGTTTATATTATTTAAGGATTTATTGTTATGTATGTTATTGTTTATTGTATATACTATTGGATTTATTATTTTTTAAGAAGAGCTAGATTCTTTTTAGAAATCCAGTTCTTCTTCAAGGAACTGTGATTGGATTGGTATGCTTTATAATTGTTGAGTTCCTCTTTTGCATTCTGATCAAGAATATTTTTTGAATTGTTGCTTCATTCTATTAATTTTTGTATTCATTTTTTCCAGATTAACTAAGATCTGTTGCCAAGGAGTAAACCCATTCTTTTTAAAGTCTAAACTGTCTGAACTTTTGAATTCTTGATTAGTTCCTTGGTTCCATTTCATGTTTGAGTTAATAGATTCATTATTGCTATCTGTTAGTTAAACATATCAAGCTTTTTTGAATCTAGGTTCTTGCCTTGCTTTAGTTATGTATATAGATAGCTTGCTCCTGATCTATATATATAATTCATCTATATTATTATTGAATTTATCAGTTTCTTTTCTAGAATTAGGCTTCCATCTTAATTTTTTATTGTGTCCAATATCAGTTCTCTCTATTTTTCTATCTATCTGTTTAATATCTAATTGTATTGATTTATTATCTGATTCTGAAGTCTTCTTGTGATATTGTCTGTCAAATGAAAGGTCTTGTTCTTTTTTAAAGTGTTTTTTGGCACTCCATGTAAGT